GTTCCGGCCAAGGGCACATGCCGGGGTTGCGGGCTTGATCCCCAGTAGGGGGTGTGCAGGAGGCAGCAGATCAATGATTCTCTCTCATCATTGATGTTTCTATCTCTCTCCCCCTTTCCCTTCCTCTTTGAAATCAATAAAGAAATAAAATTAAAAAAAAGAAAAGAAAGATAATCTCAGATAGTGATAAGTACTATAAAAAAAAAAAAAGCAGTCCTAGCCCGTTTGGCTCAGTTGAGAGCAATGGCCTGCAGACTGAAGGGTCCCAGGTTTGATTCTGGTCAAGGGTACATGCCCGGGTTGTAGGCTTGATCCCCAGTAGGGGGTGTGCAGGAGGCAGCCGACCAATGGTTCTCTCTCATCATTGAGGCTTCTCTCTCTTCCTCTCCCTTCCTCCCTAAAACCAATGAAAATATATTAAAAAATAAAATAAAGCAAGGTGAAGGGTCTATTTCACATTGATCAGAAAGGTCTGATTCAGAGGGGAACATTTGAGGTGAAATCTGAAATAATATGGACTCATTTACATAAAGATCAGGAAGAACATTCCAGGAGAGCACATGGGCTTAAAGTGTAAATGAGCATGGCATGAGAAAGACCAATGTGGCTTTAGCAAGATGGAGAGTTGTATGATACGAGGACAGAAAGGTGGGGGCCAGATAATGAGGGTCCATTGGGCCATGGGTTTTCACTTTAAGTTAAAATCCAGACACCCTGGAAGTCATTGGAGGATTTTAAGTGGGGAAAGGACATGATCTTTAAAGATCACTCTGCCAGTTCTGCGGGGAATGGATTATGGAGGGTGGGCAAAGGAGGAAGATCATTTAGAAGCTACTGCAGTTAAACAGGCAAAAAATAATAGTGACTTGGAAAAGAATAATTGGGATATAAGTAAAATGCTAATTCAGTATCTGGTACATAAGCACTGAACAATAAAATGGTGTGAAAATTTAAAAAAAATAAAAAAATAAATAAAATGGTGTGAGGTAATAGAAAATATACATTGGTCTCTGCCCCTGGTTCCAGACCCAGGGCTCCTAGAACTTGGAGCATCTTTTGTTCTGAGGTCACTCTGGGTGGGCTCCTGGATGAGTGTTGGTGACCAGGAAGACCCAGCCATAATTAGAAGTTTGGAATTTTCAACCCTACCTCCCATTCTCCAGAGAACAGAAGGGTGGAAATGGAGTTAGTAATTGATCATGCCTATATGATGAAGCCTCCTTAAAAATTCCCGAAGTATGGTTTGGTGAGCTTCCAGATTGGTGAACACATCCACACTGCAATGTGACGCACCCCAACTCAAGGGGCACAGAAGCTCCTTTTTCAGGACCCTCCCAGACCTCACTCTATGTATCTCTTCATCTGTCCCCTTTATCATATCCTTTAATAAACTCGTAAATGTAATTTTAATGTTTCTCTGAGTTGTGTGAGTCACTCTAGCAAATTAATTGAACCTGAGGAAGGGGTCCTGAGAACCTCCAATTTGTAGCCAAATCTGACAAAAGTTGTGGGTAAATTGGGGATCTACTATTTGCAGTTGACATGTGGAGTGGGAACAGTGTTATGGGACTGAGTCCTTAACCCCTTCCCCAACAATTTTTTTGTTAAAAACGTTTCTTTTTCAGACTAATTTTTTTATTTTGGTTCTATATAGTATTTTTGATGCTGGTTATGAAAACAGTTGTAACTCGTCTTCCTATAAACCATATTTTTTTACCATATTTTCTTAGTATACTCGTCGACGACTGAAAAAGAACATTTTGTGAAAACGAGTATACACGTTTCTGCCGGGGAAGGGGTTTTAACCTGTGGGATCTGACACCATCTCCAGATAGACTGAGTTAAACTGCTGGACACCCATATGGTGTCACAGAGATTTGTTTGGTGGGGGAACCACCCCCCATTTGGTGACTAGAAATGTTAGAAGTGTTCTGTGTGAGTACTAAAGGAGACATACAGAAGGGAAAGAACTGAGGTTTTCCTCTACAAAGGAAAAGACACACAGGTGGAAAACAGTTTTTCCAGTCAAATGGTACCTATTATTAGTTTATGCCTATAGAAAATCTTATTTAGTAAAACATGAACATCAAAATCCTTAAGACAATAACTTAGGAAGTATACAATGACGACAACACAAGTATAAGAAATATAACTATGTTATTTATTTAACAAAATTTGTTGAGAATCTATTCTGCACAAATTATGAACGGGTTTGCTAAGTCAGCATGGGAAACTGAATTAATAGATCAATTAATCTGTAAGGGACCTGAGAAGAGCTCAACCTCTCACTTGACGAACAACAAAATTGCAGTCTACAGAAAGAAACTGCTGTTTCTATTGAAACTGCTATCCAAACTGGAACATGAGAGGATCATGCCCTAGTTGTCATTAACAACATAACACAAGCATTTTTAATGAAATGTTATATGGGCAGCACATTACTATACTAATGCTAAGAAGATGTAATATTTACATAAAGCCTCTGATATAGTACTTTTCATAGAGTAAGTGCTCAATAAACGGTAACTATTCCACCTGTATGGTCTTTGGGAGGCTGTGTGTGTGATGTCTGCCTGACATCAACTGTTTAACTTGATAGTAGAGCCACAGGAATTGGAACCTAACTCAACCCTTTTATTTTTTAAATGGAAAGAGAGGTTTAAAAGGGCTAAATGACTTGCAAAGCCAGCCAAGACCAAACTCTGAATCCCCAGTCTGGTTTCCATTACATGTCACAGATCTTCAGGTTGGTAGTGTTCAAACTTTTATAAGAAGGTAATAGGAACATAGCTGCTATACCTGACTTTTCAGTCCCTAATTAAAGTCTTCTTGAGCGATGATTTTAATATAAGAATCATCAACAATGCAGATTGGGTATATATTGTCTTAGGAGTTAACAATGAAACAGTTTTGATAATGCAATTCTATCATGGACACCTGAAGAATGACAGTTACCAGAGTAGCTGTTACATGCACTTAAGTAGAGAGACTACAAGCAGAAAATAAACCCACAGGAGAAAATGATCTAAAGCATTTTCTGAAACACACTTAAAATGTGACAACAGCTGTGGTTCACTAAGAAATTGAGACAAACTCTCTTGGCATATAGCAACAACAGAATGGTTTGTTTTAAGCCAAGACTAATAGGGAGGGAGTCTAATAAAAGCATTGGGAAATCAAGACTAAAAACCACAAATTTGGGCAGAGATGTAGCAAGTTTTCCCTTTCACAGAGTGGAAAGACCAATCTTGCGCTTTCAAAGCCTTTGCATATGAGATTGGGGTTTCCGCCCCCTACTCCCATAAAAAAAAAAAAATCTTTGTATGGGAGGGGGAAGGGGAATATGGCATAGAGGGGAACCCTCTCTCTGTGGTGAGTTAAACTCATTTCCTGCAAATTTTACTATAGCATATCTCGTTTTATTGCGTTGCGCTTTGTTGCGCTTCTTACAAACTGACGGCAAGACCCTCCACCAGCGAAGATGACTACTCGCTTTATTGCGGTACTCCTATTACGGTGGTCTGGGGCTCAGCCCGCAACATCGCCGAATTCTGTCTGTAAGGCTCTGTGAAAGACGCTTGCCTTGTCTCAAAGACCTCAGCATTACCAGGGAGAAGGAAGGAAAATGGGGTTCGCCGAAGTACGCAAATAAGCCATGGAGGAACAGAAGCGCTCTAAGACGGGGCTATGGGTTCAAAGGTAGGAGGACGTCTAGACTCAGAAAAGGCTTCATAGAAGCGAAGTTCGAGATAATGTCTGAAGAGGAGGCGAAGATATGGGGATGAAGGGTAAAGAGAGTGGGGGTGCGCTCGGGCAACCCGGAGAGACCAACTCAACCGCCCGCCGCTTCACGCGCTCGGCGGGCGTCCAGGCTCTCCCGCGGGGCAGTCGCCAGGGCTCCCAACCAGGTCTACCCCCGCCTCGTTCTCACAGCCCTTTCTCACCTCGAAGGCTTCCAACTTTCTCCACGGTCAGGCCTGTTTAAGGACAGAAGACGACGGGAGAGCCCCCAGGGTGGCGGCGAAGGTGCCTAGTCAACTCAAGAGCTGGAGGCAGCGGCCAGGCCGCATCCCCATGGTAACGCCGCCAAACTCGGGTTCGAACGCCCGCGCCCTTGCCCGGCGCTGGCAGTCCCGCATTGTCCTCCAATGGGCGTCCAGGGAACTCGCTGGCGTTAGCCGTCATCTCCTCTAGAAGACCAATCGGGGGTCGGAAAAGACAGTGGGCGTAACCTTCAGTTTCCGTCTTTCAACCAATCGTTCCACTTGAGAGAAGATCTCGCGACGTTCTAAGAGAGAGAAAGGCAGCTTTGAGGCGGGTCGAGAATTTTTCTCCTTCAAATCATTGGTCCCCCGAAGCGCAGTCGCGCTCCCCGATTGGTCGACGTACCACACCCTGGAGCCTCCGTCCCTCCTTCCTCCCTCTGCTTCGGGTGAGTAGCAGAACGGGCCGTGTGGGTTTACTTCTCTGCGGATCAGCTGAGGCTCCGGCTCAGCAACGGACTAATCTCGCGTAGCTGTAGGGTCAAAGGTGGACGCGCGCTCCTCCACCTGGGTTTAGGGCCCAGCGTCCCGATCGCGTTCTACCTTCCCCTTCCTGGGCCTCAGTTTTAATCTTGTTGTTAAACTTAAAACCTTGCCTCCTTCCCCAAAGAGATTTTATATTTTCTAATTGCTTCACTTATTTATTTATTTTTTAAATATATATTTTATTGATATTTTACAGAGAGGAAGGGAGAGGGATAAAGTTAGAAACATCTATGGGAGAGAAACATCGATCAACTGCCTTTGCACACTTCCTACTGGGGATGTGCCCGCAACCAAGGTACATGCCCTTGACCGGAATCGAACCTGGGACCTGTCAGTCCGCAGGCCGACGCTCTATCCACTGGGCCAAACCGGTTAGGGCTGCTTCATTTATTGAATGGAAAATATCGTGACAATTATAGCGGAAGTAAAGAAAGTCAAACGAGAGTCTCACTACCTAAAATACCATTTACTTTTTCTTTGTTCGGGCCTGGTTTGGGTCCTATGAACTTGTTAAACTTAGTATATATAAGTAAAGTAAAGTGAATGCAAGCCAACAGCCAAATGTAGACCACTAGTGCAGAGTTCAGGTAAAGAGCCACGATATTGGGAGTCAGACAGACCTGATTCTGAGTTACTACTCAGACACTTCTCTGAGTCATAGTTTCCTTTTTCTTCTTCTAAAAAAATGGTGGTAATGCCTCAGAGAGTTGTTGTGAAGATTAATTGAAATAATGAAGGTGAAGCACTTCGCACAATGCCGGGCAAGTAGTAACTCCTCAAAAAATAGTAGCTACTAACTTAATAGAAACAAAGAAATATACGAACCAATGGGACATTAGACTGACTGTAATTGAGTACCCAATTTAGCATAAAACTTGTTAAATAATAATTAAGGAAAGGATCCATTCTTCAAACGTGAAATTTCTTCATAGTACCTATATTGAGAGGGATTTATCTTGTGGGACCTTTTCACACTTTTTTTTCAATTGATTTCAGAGAGGAAGGGAAAAGGAGAGATAGAAATATCAATGATGGGAGAAAATCATTGATGGTCTGCCTCCTGCACACCCCCACCGGGCATTGGCCTCCACTCTGCAACCCCAGGCATTCCCCTCGACTGGGAATGGAACCATGACCTCCTGGTGTATAGGTTGATGCTCAGCCACTGAGGTACACTGGCCAGGCTTGTGGGACCTTTTACATGAGGAATATACATGGCGTGGTGAACAGTGTTCTCCAGCAATTTTGCAGAAAATATGAAAAGACTTTTAAAAAAAATATGTTTATTGATTTCAGAGAGAGGAGAAACATGGATCAGCTGCCTCCTGCACGTGCCCTACTGGGGATTAAGCCTGCAACCCAGGCATGTGCCCGGACTAGGAATCCAACTGTCAACCTCCTGATTTGGTGCGTGGGACGGTCCTTAACCAACTGAGCCACACCTGCCAAGCTGAAAAGCCATTTCTTTATTCATCTATCAATAAAAGCTAAGCGCGTGCCATTAAAACACCGTAAACCCTGGCTGGTGTGGCTCGGTTGGAGTGTCCTCCCATACACCCGAAGGTCACAGGTTTGATTCCTGGTCAGTAAGGTGCATAGGAGGGGAACTAATTGCTGTTTCTTACATCAATGTTTCTGTCTCTCCCCCTCTCTTTCCCCCTTAGGTCAAAAAAAGCATGTTCTTAGGTGAGGATTAAAAACACACACACACAACAACAACAAAAACAAAAAAGCTTTCTGGTGATCTTTTATGATACAGGGATAAGAGTGACACATATATTCAGTACTTCTAATGTGTCAGATCCTATGTATACATTATTTTGAATTACAACAATTGTGAAAAGTAGGAGTTATTCTCATCTTACAAATGAGAGAAAATGAGGCTTAGTGAAGTTAAATATTTTGCTCAAAGTAACACAGTTGTTTAAAGAGCTAGGTCTTTCTCACTGCAAAGACAGCCATGCTTTTCTGTGCTGTGCCATGCTATTTCAGACTGAAAGAGGATGAAAATGCTCGTAATAGCAGATGCACAGGCAGACTCACCCAAATGGAGTGAGGTGGGCTCCAGAGGTACCTACAGTGAGAGCAAAATTTTTCTCTAATGGAAATTTCCACCTTGGGAAATGAAGAGATGAGATCAGAGAATCACTGAACTCTAGACCCATGTCATTTTACCTTGTGGTTAGTCTTTAACACTTTAAGTGCAACTTGTCCCAAACAGAAATCATCAGCTTACGTTCTACTCCCTACTCTACCTACTTATCTTCTATAGTTACCCAAACCATACGTCCTCTCTCTCTCTCTCTCTCTCTCTCTCTCTCTCTCTCTCTCACACACACACACACACACACACACACACACACAATGAAACATCAAATCACGTTGATTTTCTCTTTGAGATATTTTTCAAATACATCCCTTCTCCTTTCTCACTGCCTCTGCCTTAATTTAACTCTATATCATTTGTCATCTGGACTGTTGGCAACGGGCTTGTAACTAATTGATCTTGCCTCTAATCTTCCCTTCTAATTCATTTCTACCTCCCTTGCAATTCATTTCCACCTTCATTGCTTCCAGACATGCTTCCAGAATGTCTTTGTAAAATGTCAGTCTGAACATATTATAGCCCTCATTGCTGTCAAAGGCTCCTCATTGCCTACAGAATATACACTAAGCTGTTTGGCAAGGGAATGCCATCTTGTGCTTGAGGGTCTTTGCCCTCACCCCTTTTACCTGGGTGCCCCTCACCCCCATCTTTATTTTTCTGGTCAACTCCTAGCCATTCCTTCAAAATCCTTATAGGGTACCCCTTTGACCTAAAGGTAATCACTCCTTTCTCTTTGCTATTTTTCCATCTTACATATACAGCTATGATGCCCAAAACACACTGGTAACGTCTGTTTAACTATCTTCCACTTTCACTAGGCTGAGAACCCCTAGAAAACAGGAGTTTTGTAGTATTCAGCTCCATATCTACTCTTCAATCCTGTTACATTGCCTGTCGCATGGGATACACTCAACAGATGTAAGATGAATAAACAAATCCCCTCAGGCTAATATTAAAATTCCCCATCCTTGCTTTCCCGAATTGTACAGCAGATGGCACTAATAGGCCACTGAACAGATTCCCTTCACTAGGAATGATTTTTGTCTCAACCTTGTCCGACTTTGTCCTCATCCTGGAAGCCAATATTCATGTCATTGCAGGTGAAATCTCCTTTTTCCTCCCTCAGCCAAATAGCAGAGATAGCAAGATGACTCAGCAGCTTGGTCTCTGAGATGAGAAAGTGGCAGATGTCCAGGGAAATGTTGAGGGAACATTTTCATTGTCTCAATTTCATCATGGTGGTTGGGGGCTTTCTTTTTTTAAAAAAAAATATATATATTTTATTGATTTTTTACAGAGAGGAAGGGAGAGAGATAGAGAGTTAGAAACATTGATGAGAGCGAGACATCGATCAGCTGCCTCCTGCACATCTCCTACTGGGGATGTGCCCGCAACCCAGGTACATGCCCTTGACCGGAATCGAACCTGGGACCTTTCAGTCCGCAGGCTGACGCTCTATCCACTGAGCCAAACCGGTTTCAGCTGGGGGCTTTCTTCTTTCCTGTTTTCTTTTTCTCTTTTTGCTGCTGTTGTTACAAGAGAGAACTTTATTCATAGATGGGTGGCTCGTTTCTGTCCACCCCTTTGGAAAGGGAGAAGGGCGTTGGAGAATCAAAGACCATGATGATGTGGAAAATAAGGGAAAGCTGAGCCGTCAGAGTTGCTTGTGGGCCAGCATAGTTGAGCCTCCTCACAGTGGAATGGTCTGGGCAAATTTTCTGGACACTCGCATCTTAAATTAGGTGCTTGTGTGCTTGTCCAAGGCTAGCATCAGGGTGTTCCCAACACTTGGTACTTGGAAACCCCCACACTACTGGGTATGGTTTTGAACATGTGGTTTTAGGTTCCTGTTTCCGAGGAAAAAGCAGAAGAGGCAAAGAAACCCTTATCCAGAGAGGCAAAGTTTAGGCACCTCTGGCTACACTACCCCTCCAGGGTTGTCTTTGGGCACCAGGCCCTTCATTCATATACCCTTCCAACTGAAACCTGTTCTGTAGAAAGGATTCCAGCCAGACATCTTAAAAATTCTCCATATGAATATAGATCAAAGACTGGGAATTTTGGAATTGGAAGTAATTTTTATAAGTCATTTGCATGTCCTCTGTCAGGGCCGTTTTTTGCCCCAAGCCCTGCTCTCTCGTGGTAAGGAGTGCTGTATGAGGAAAAAGAAGATAGCCTTTGGAGTTTGGCTTACTTGGATTCAAATCCCACCATTCACAGGTAGGTATGCCTTTGGGCGAGTATTTTAACCTTTTGAATCTCAGTTTCCCCATCATAAATTGAAGATAGTAATGCTTATCATGAAGACTTGTTTTGAGCATTAAAAAAGATACACGTAGCCCCGCTGGTGTGGCTTAGTTGTTGAGGGTCGACCTATGAACCAGGAGGTCATGGTTCAATTCCCGGTCAGGGCACATGCCCGGGTGGTGGGCTCCATTCCCAATGGGGAGTGTGGGGAAGGGCAGCTGATCAATGATTCTCTCTCATCATTGATGTTTCTATCTCCCTCTCCCTTCCTCTCTAAAGTCAATAAAAACATATTTTTTAAAAAAGATATAAAAAAAACAGGTGCAGTGTAATTGACATAGTGTAGATGCTTAATTGATAAGATGGTGGCATGAAACATTTTTACTAAGGGGATTTTAGGCTATGAAATACAAGTTGGGGGAGGATTTGGGGAGCTCTTTCTATACCTAAGGGTATATTTGAGGGCTTTGGGGTTGAGCTATGCTTGCAATAGCACTCTGATTAATTTGAAAACACGGACACACAGCACATCAGTATAGCCATTTACCTGTAAATTATTTTTTGGCACCTAAATCCTGAACCTCCTAGGTGTGAAGGAGTTATATATAGAGAGAGAAAGCCAAGGCACTTTTCCTTAGCTCCTGGAACCTCCGAATGACATCAAGGGGTGTTTTTTGGTTTTGTTCAGGTTATTTTAACCACCTAAGGCATTTTGCCACTTTTCTGAGGTGTGAATTGCCTGCTGTTGTCCTGGCCTGGCGTTCTCACCTCAGTGATGGCTGCAGGCATATTTGCATATTGGATGCTGTGTTCTTTAACCTCCTGAGATTTGAAATCATTTGAAGTGAGAGAGAGAGAGAAGCAGAGACAGAGAGAGACAGAGAGATGCTTTCAAACCCCAGGACAGTTTCAGCTTAGTGGACTCCAGAAAACCTCCAACAATACCTCCATTGACTTTTATGTAAATGGCACTCTTTAGAAAAACACTGGGCTATTTCCCAAATTCGCGAAACATTCCCTGAGCAGTTGTTTGAGTGAGGTGTGGAGAGAGTTCTGTTGAATCAGTGAACATCTGTTGAGGGCTGCTCTACTACGTCCCAAGGAGACGGAGCGCATGATGTGGCTCTTTCCTGCTAGAGCTAGAGATTTCCCTTACTAGGTTTGCATGCTTGTGGCTTTGTTCTGTGTCCACTTAGCTAAGCTGGAACTAGGTTTCCCAGGATTCCCTTCTGTATGGGTCCAGGTTAGGGTTGACTTTAAGAAAATTTTATTTGAGATTTGTAAAGCTGAAGTGAAGTAGCTACCAGTACACTGAAGGGGGCAGAGCAGGGTAACAGGCATGGTGGCAGTGCATAACCCTTGACACTGATGTGCGCATTGTTTATGCACAGCCACCGAGGCCTGCAGCTCCACAACTCCACTGAATCTCCTCCTTCAGCTACTCTGAGTCCTGGGCCAGGTGTACACGCAGCTCTGTGTGTGGCAAAGAGCTCCAGCTTCTGGAAGTCACCTGCATCAATGAACTTGCAGATGGTGAAAGGAAGTTGCAAGTTTCAGTTTGTCCTCAGGAGTTCCACTTGTCCTTTTAGTTCCTATTTGTTCTCACAGGTTCCAGTTTTCCTTGCTCTCCCCCACAGCCAGCTTTCCTTCCCCAGCTGCTGGCCTGCTGACCTATAGAGACTTCAGGCCCAACAGCAGATGCAGATGCGGCAGCACTGCATGGATTTCTCCCTCAACTCCCATCCAACTCCTTGAACAAGGTCTAATTTCTATACTAAATCCTTAATTTTCTGTTGCTCATAGTGTTTGGCTTCTCTCATCAAACCCTATAGTAGAAATTTATTCAAGCCATGTGAAAGGCCCAGAAGATGGGTGACATCTGAGTTGCTTCTGAAAGAATGAGCAGAAGGTAATGTGTATGGAGAAGGAGGGAGAAATTCCAGAGAAAAGCTGGCTCAAGCCAAGCAACTGAAAGGAAAAATAGGAGTCCTGCCTTTCTAGAACTGTCTCAGACTTCCTCCATGAGTCGAGAGCATAGATAGAAAGAGAACATCTAATCCTAGCTCTTAATCTTAGCTCTTCTGGTCTCATTGAGATGAACTGTTGGTAGGTCTGGGTTTTAGATGTTATCACTCCTGCGCATTGGTATCTACTGAGATACACTTTTGCTGGGGTTACCCTTAATACTCCTCTGAGTCCCCTCCCCATAGGAAAACATTGGCCTATTGGCCTGTTCCCCTCTCCTCGTTGGCTCCTCCATCTTTGTTTCCTGAGGCTGTGTTGGGATGGCAGTGGTGTGAGGAATGCTCTGGGGCTTCCTGTCCCAGGCAGGGAGGGTACTGTGCCTGTAGTCTTGGATTGCAGAGCTTATCTAGGGATTCTAACATTTATTCCATGGGAATCCACCCAAGGCAGGCATAAAGTGCCTTATATTTACTATAATCTACACTTATAACTTGCTAATACTTTCCAAGCATCTTGATGGGGCCTGGGGGAGAGGGGACAGGGAATGGGATCAGACACCTGTCTCTGCCTATACCTGGAACCTGTCATTTGAAACCTTTATTTCTGGTTTCCAGAATGGGGAAAGCTCTCAGCATAAATGTGGAGACCAGTGAAATAGAACACAATGCTGAATAAAACCCGCTTTCCATTTAAATGAATTTTTAAACTCAAACAGGATCACATTATACATACTATTCTAAAACATATATATTTTTTTAGTATGTCTGAAAATCTTTTTACAAGCAGCACATTGGCTCTACCTCATTTTTTTATGGCTTCATAATTTTCTTCCAAACTATAAAGGAAAGTCTATTCAGAAAGTGACAGGGGTAATAGAAGGGCCCTTGGAGCTTAGGAGAAAGAGGGAGAAAGACACACACCGTGAGGGATGAAAAAGGGAGGAGAGGTAGGGGTGTGCTCTGGAAAAGAGAGAGCTTACTCATAATTTTTATCATGTAGATATACTGTACTTTATTTCATTATTCCTTTATTGATGGATATTTGTTTTTGCCTTTTTTTCTTTTTGACATTTCAAACAAAGTTGTAATGAACATCCTTGTGTGTGCATTTTAAACATATATTTCTGTACGTCAGATGCCTAGAAATGGCATTTCTGGGTCTAAGGGAATATGCTATGTTTTGATATTCATAAGTAAATTGCCCTCCTGTGAGGATATGCTAATTTACTCTCTCACCAACAGTGTATTAGAGCATAGGACATTTTAGAAAGCCCTTTTGAGATTGTTTCCACTCCTTAAAACGCTCATTACAGGTTTGGAAAGGTCGCAGTGTTGGGCGTGTTTGGTTTTCTGGTAAGGAACTGCTGTTCCCTAGAGTAACATTACCATCTGTTGGCAGTCCTCAGAATTGCCCTGAAACAGGTTTTAGTTTGGACCTGATTTTTGTGCCTTTGATAGATGCAAGCTCATCTTGATTAAGCACCAACAAAGGCGCCATAGAGACCATCAGCTCCTACCCCAGCGACCCTCTCTGCAGTTAGCTCTGCTGTCTGTGAGTACCAGCTCTTTCTTTGGCCCTGGAATCTTGCAGGTGAGGCCCTGCTGACTCAGGCCTCATCCTGCATGGGACACTCTCCCAGGCCTTCGCTGCATTTGAGACACCTAGTTTTCTTTCAGTCCTGCCATCCCACCCCAGGACCTTTGTCTGTGCTGTTCCTTCCACCTGGAGCACGCCTCTCTCCTTCCCTTTGCCATCTTATCTTTTACTCAGCATTTACTTCTCTGTCAAACATCCCTTCTTCCAAGAATCCTTCTTTGATCCCTTAGACAAGGTCAGGTTGCCCATCATACATTTTTCTTTTGTAGGACATACTTTATTGGCAGTTATTTTTTAATTTGCTTAATTATTTAATTAAAGCCGTCCTCATCCACTAGAATATAAAACTACATGAGAGCAAAGGCCTAGAATAGTACTTAGTACATAGTAAGTACTCAACAAATATTTGTTGAATGAACAAATGACACAGATTTTTCTTAACAGGGTCTTAACATAAAACATCTTCCATATTGTTGTTACCTTGATTACATGTTCCCCTTCAGATGGTGATTTTTTTTCCAGTTCTGCAGATATTTCTACTGTTCTCCCTTCCTGTCTTTTGTTGTTGTTGACATACTTTTCTGAAATAGACAAAAAGACTACATGAAATGGAAAAGACTAAAAAGTTTAGTTTTTATTGTATTGCTTATTATAAAATTAGTAAATGTTCTCTGTAAATTTCCAAACAATACAGAAATACGTGGAGTAGAAAATGAAAGTCTCCTCATAACCTCATCCTCCAGAAAACACTATTGATGATGTGTCTACCCAGACATTGTTCTATGCAGATTGAAATTTATTTACATACCAGGCACTGTTCTGAAGCACTTTATAAAAGTTAAGTCAAGCAATCCTCACAGCAACCCTTGAGGCAGAACTATTATCATCTTGTCTTACAGGTGAGGAAACTGAGGCTTTCGAGGAAATTGCACAGTGAATAAGTAGCAGAGCCAGAACTTGAACCCAGGCTCTAGGTTCACTCTTGACCACCATGCTAGTTTCACCTCTGATGAGGTGGGAGACTTTTTACTAGGTGTGCCCTTTTTGAACTTCAAGTTTTAAACCATGTGAATGTATAACATTCTAAAACATGGATAAAACACTAAAAAAATCCATGACAAAAATGTGTACACCAAGCTACCTTTCCTAAGTGACCCCCTTTAAGCCATCAGATACCACAGTGTTGGGATCTCTTTGCTCCAGAAACTCAGGCTGGAGGCTGAGGAGAATGGGATTGTGGGTTTGATGAGAATATTGAACTGCATCTCTCCCATTCCCAGCATCTCTCCAGTCTCAGTGGGTTTTGCTTCCAAGGATCTCTAGTCTCTTAACACACATACCAGCCTGTGTTTTAGACTTGGAGGAATTAGGATAGAGCCACACTGACAGGGTAGGGCCAGTGTCCTGCAGTTAGACACCAAGGCCTATCTCTGATTCCTGGTTTCCCCCCATTGGCTCTTGGCATTCTGCTTTTTTCTGTAGGTGATGAGGTCACTGTTAGCTGGTCTGTGCTACTCCCCAGCACCAGAGTGCTGCTCCCCCAGAATGGATCTTCCTGCTTTGTGTAACTTCCCAATGTCCCCTTCTTCTTTATTAAGTTCTCAAATAGACCATGGCCCTGAGAGCATGTGGCTTGATCATCTTCCGAAGACGCCTCATTCCCAAGGTAGACAACGCTTCAATTGAGTTTCTATTGCTGCAGGCATCAGATGGCATTCATCACTGGACTCCTCCTAAAGGTACAAGTACCCAGAGGGTCCCAGCTTCAATTCCGGTCAAGGGCACATGCCCAGGTTGCGTGCAGGAGGCAACCAATCAATGATGCTCTCTCATCATTGATGTTTCTATCTCTCCCTCTCCCTTTCTGATATCAATTTTTTTAAAAAAAGAATGAATTTTAAAAAATTTGCACATTTGAGTTTCACTAAGGAAAAACAAGGTGACAAAATGGAAAGAAATGTTACAAATACTATTTATAGGAATAGCCACATTTGTCTCCTGATCTCCTATGTCACACTGAAAGATTTCAAAGGACCCCTCTGAATTGTGGGAGGCTTGGGCCTGGGGGAGAAGTTACCCTGTTAATGTTGATGGGCAGAATGCCGAATAGCTGATGTTGGGAAGGTGTGCTTAGAGACTCCCACACACTTCTGAGGGAAGGTAAGACATCCTGGGTCAGAGTCACTTCTGCCACCACCAGCACCCCTCTCACCTTCATCCTTTGATGCATTACCTACCTGTCTTTGTGTGCATGACTCCATATGAGGTGCCATACAGAGAAAATTCTCCAGAAGCCATGAGCTCAAATGGTCTTTAAGTACAAATTGCTGGTTGCTTTCTGTCGGAAGTTGTGCAGCGGCAGCTAACTCAGGGCAGTGCCACGAGGACCCTAGGAACGAGCAAGGCTAGAATATAGCCCTGTCTCCGAACCAAGAAGGGAACAGCTAGCAATTCCTGCTCCCCATGAGCTCCTAAACCAGGAGGCCCCCAGCAACTGCCGGAGCCATGTGTTGACAGAGGCTGCCAGACCCCCCCCACTCCTTCTTGGCTCTTCTGGGCAAACTGAGAATTTGCAGGAAGGGCCTAGCGGCAGAGCTGAGGGCTGCTCCCAGTCTGCGGAGCTTCAAGTTCTCCTACAACAGTTTCTTGGCAGCTGTCTGCTTGGGTTTAGGTCTTGCCAACAAATTTTCTTAGAACTGTTTCTCGGCTTGTCCTTAGTCTAAGTTCCCATCAGGACTTTCCCTATGAAACTGGAATCTGGTCTTGCTCAGTTAGAAAGATGAAAACAATTTGGAAAAGCCTTGATAGCTACTTGGAAACAGCTGCTGATGCTGAAGTGCATGGTTTTGAGCCTGTCTGTTGGCCTTGGGACTTCAGAGACCAACTGCAGACAGTGTTAACTCCTCACTGTGGACTGAGGCAAAGTGCTCACTCTCGGCTGGCTCCCATCTGCCAAGAAGGGACTGCCCCTCCTTGGGAACATCACTTTAAGCCTTAAAGTGTAAGGTCTCCAAGGGAAAGGTCTCCCTAAGAATATGGGATGAGGAAAACTCCAAAGAATAAGAAAGCAGACGTCTGAGGGAGGCCATCTCTCACCATCAAAGGAGCAGTATTCTAGACCAGACTTGCCAAGTACATGGTCTGTTTCACTCTCTGTAGAGAAGATGGGGTGAGGAGGAGGGGTTTCCCAGATACTGCAGAGCCAAACACTACCTGCCCTGCACCCCATTCCTAGGCGTGTTCGGATATTACCAATCTCTAGCCGTCCTTTAGCCTAGCAACAGCTAGAAAAGTCACCAAAGATCCCATCTTTAAATCATCTAACCTGGAAAATCCAGCTTTGTTGAAGATTATCTCCCCCTCCTCTTTCTGTTTTCTCCTAACCAGGCCATGTGGAACCCGGAGAAAATGAATTGGAAACAGCTCTGCGGGAGACTCAGGAGGAAGCAGGCCTAAAAGCAAGCCAGCTGACCATCATTGAGGGGTTCAGAAGGGAGCTCAATTATGTGGCCAGGGAGAAGCCTAAAACAGTCATCTACTGGCTGGCAGAGGTGAAGGACTATGACGCAGAGATCCGCCTCTCCCACGAGCACCAAGCTTACCGCTGGCTGGGGCTGGAGGAGGCCTGCCAGTTGGCTCAGTTCAAGGATTTGGAGGCATTACTCCAAGAAGGACACCAGTTTCTCTGCTCCACAGTGGCCTGAGCTGAAACAGTCACTTGCCTCAGTAGGATCCTTGAGGGCCTTTCTGAGATGAACCCACCTTCAGCTCCAGGGACGGTTGTGCTGGTCTGGCTCATCATAGCAAAGAACAGATAGGTTAGTAAATCAGCCCTGCACACTCAGAGGCGAGCAGGCAAAAATCTGAGCTGGGTGGAAAGGAAGGTAAAGGAGGAGTTTAAAAAAAAGTGCATCCTTGTACAAAATAAACCTTAAGCAACCTATCTGTCCTGTAAGCTGCTGTATTTATTTCTTGGATTCCTGCTCTTGGTGGGAGAAACACTAAAGTGAATTGGAGCTCTGGCCTTTGCCAGAAGGAATCCTGTGTCCATGCACTGTACCCCAGAGAAGCGAAGGGAGTGGGGCTCTCCTGCCTCTGGGACTCCAAGCACTCTCGCCCCATCTCCACTGAGACTTTTCTACCTGTAGTCGGATGGGATATGCACGTGAGTGGAACTAGAGCACAGGAATGAGGTCTGTTTGGCTCACTAATGTATCTCACCCGGCACCAGTCACATATGTTGTAGGTGCTCAGTACATTTTTTCTAAAATAGAGACCCAAGGAACTTGGGGACATAGCCCAGATCACAGCAGGGAGAAGAGGGACAGCCCCGGGCCACCACGTCAGTGACACATGTGCTCCAGCCTCTCGGCCCAGTCCTGCCTCCCAGAGTCAGCATGGGCCTTGTCAGCATGACTGAGGTCACTGGCAAGAAGCACGCCCAAGGGACTCCCCTGTGCCACCCAGCAGCCCTGTCAGTACACATTGTGCATTTGTGCCTGCAGCTGCCTTCTCCACCTTCAGCAATCCCTCATCATTGGTTTTTCTCTCTTCCCTCCTACTCCCTTTCTCCACAACTCAACTGTAAGACCCAGAGGCGCAAGAGTTGGGTCTCAGCCCTCTTTTCCCTTGCTACTAGGGCTCAAGGAATGTAGGGCAGGTGTTAGATCCTATAGCCCTTCCAGAAGCTGTTAGCAGCTGAATTCATGTGGATTTTATTAGAGGGTTGTTGCCCAATGAAGTGCAGAAGATTGGATGGGAAGGGTCATTGGCAAAGGTCAACCCAGATTACCAGGGTCAAGAACTACCACCTCTAGAGGAAGGAAAGAGAAGTCACCCAGGTCTTAAGCGGCTTCCAGCTGTTTTCAGTCCCCAGATCTCCGTGCAGACAGGGCAAAAGGATTAGCGAACAGGATCTTGGAACATGGCCAGGGACCTGAATGGTTTTGTTCCTCACCCCTCTGCGCAGCCCTCTGAAGGAGGCCTGCTGCAGGAAGTTTTTGGAGCTTAATGTTCTCTTTCTTGGCCAGCAGGGACCGCGTCCCATCGATTTAATAAATGCCTTGCCGGGCAGTGGTGCCAAACCACAGACTCGCTGCCTCCTAACAAGGGCTGGCCGGCCCTGTCCTCTCAGCACGGGAGGCTGTGGAATTTCAAGATGCTAAGACCTCATATGTCAGCGTTGGAAGGGATCTGGAAAACGACCTGATTTTGCTGCTTGTTTTTATAGTTGGGAAAACTGAGGCTTAAAAGGTATGCTTTGAGGATGGGGTGCCAGAGGAAAAACTGCTTTAGAATATCTTGTATATCTTTGGGGTCATTCCTCTGGTCCTCACAGAGTTTTCCATTAAAACACAGGTACTTTGGCCCTGACGGGTTTGGCTCAGTGGATGGAGCGTCGGCCTGTGGACTAAAAGGTCCTGGGTTCGATTCCAGTCAAGGGCATGTACCTTGGTTGCGGGCACAACCCCAGAGGGAGGTGTGCAGGAGGCAGCTGATCGATTTTTCTGTCTATCCCTCTCCCGTCCTCTCTGTGGAAAATCAATAAAATATATTTAAAAAAAGAAAGAAAGCCAGCACGGGTTGCTGAGAAAAAACAAACAAACAAACAAACAAAAACCCTGACCGGTGTGGTTCAATGGTTACAGTGTGAGCCCATGAACCGAAGGGTCTCGGGTTCAATGCCCAATCAAGGACATTGGTTGCAGTCTTAATCCCTGACCCGGTCAGGGTATGTGTGGGAGGCAACTAATCATGTCTCTCTCACATGGATCTCTCTCTCTCTCTCTCTCTTTCTTTCCCCCCTCCCTCCCTTCCACTCTCTAAAAAGATCAATGGAAAAAATATCCTCCGGTGAGGATTAACAAAAACAAAAGAACACACAGCTTCTTTGGAGAAAGGGGAGGCCTTACATTGTATTCATTTGCTCACTTTGCAGGAAGAATTAACAGCATTGGACTAGGCAAGTTATGGGAGGTGGATAAGGGCGGGAGAGAGTGGAACTGAGACGGGACGTGGCAGGGAGCAGGCTTTGTTGTCAGGACCACTTCGCTGCTTGCCAGCTGGGCTTGTTCAAGAGCCGTGAGTCTGAGGTCACAGTTTCCCCTTCAATCTGAGGCCCTCCAAGCTCCAGAGCACCTCCTTCTGGCAGTTTTTCCTAATAACCACCAATCCTATAAATACCATCCTAGTTTCCCCACCTGCACCCAAAGAGGCTCCCCTTGGAACTCCACCTGTTGTTCCCAAAGCCACTTCCACCACCCCAGGGTGTAGAAGCATCTTATGGACTTATCCCCACTAGGGTGGTCTTAAGTTTCCCCCTTTAACAGAGGGATTTAACAGAGGCTCTGGAAAACCAAAATGCCTTCTTGCCTCCCAAAAGCAACACCTTCCACCCCCACAGTAGGCACTTGTTTGCTGACTTGAAGAGCCAAGAGAATGAAGTTATAATGGTAGTTGTAATGGTACAGTTTTTATGGGTGTGGGGCCCCAGCTAGGTCCCCCACATTTGGAAAGCAGAAGCTGACATCTCCATGGGTCCAGCTTGTGGCCCAACCTGCCTTTTTTCCTAGAGAAGGGACACACCAGCAGCCTGCGGCTACCTTAATGCTGTGCTATAGGTGCCTAGAGGGACCTGCTCTCTCCCTTCCTCACAACTTGCCCCACCCCCTCGCCCCCGTTTGCTTCCCTTCCCCTCCCATTCTACCACCTACTCAGAATTATGTAATAGGAAATTCCCAACTGGGCTCTCTGAGGAGGGGGAAGGGGGCTAGGGAGGGAAAAAACAGCACAAGGATACAAAATACAGAGAGACAACCTCTTCCTGTTCTTAAGACCAGGAACTCCAGGGACAGGGTCTCCCCCTCCTCCTTCCCATTCCTCCCCTCACCTCACCCCAGCCAAAGTCAGTGCTTGCCACATAAGGCCAACAATTCTCCCCTCCCTTAATGGGTGAAGGGGGTCAAAAGGTACAAACTTCCAGTTATAAAATGAGTAAGACCTAAGGATGTAATGCACAGCCTGGTGGCTGTAGTTAATAATACTGACTTGCATATTTGAAAGTAGCGAGGAGAGTGGATCTTGATGTTCTTAATACAAGAAAAAAGTTCTTTCTTGTCAAATGTTAACTGGACTTATTGTAGCAATGTAATGCACAAATATTGAATCTTATGTTGCATACCTGCAACTAACACAATGTTATGTCAATTATAGCTCAATTAACAAAAACAGTTATCAGCCTCTGTTTTCCCCTATTAAAATGGTGAAGTACTTTGAAAAAAAAAAAAGAATTTTCCCCCTCTGCTCAAGCTGCTGGAAAGATTGTTGGGTATGATGAAGTAATGACTAGTCTTAAGATAAAAACCAGGTTGGTCCTTGGGAACTGGGGTGTGTCAGAGAGGGGAGGGAGGGTGTCAGCAGAAGTCCCACTAAGTCAGACAATGGCAGGAAAGGAAATTTAAAAAAAAGAAAGAAAGAAAGGAAATCACCCAGTTGCCGCTGCGGTTTTCTTCCAGGCTGGGTCTAGGCAGGCCGCCCCTTGCTAGGCTGTGCTGCGGAGCTATTCCAAAAACAGAAGGTAGTGCTTCTTCAAATGCTTTTCAAAATATGTTCATGGGTGTGTGTGTGTGTGTGTGTGAGCAAAACAGAAACAGGTGCGGGAAGGATTCAGATCTTAGAGGCCTTGAACACCAGAGCTTGATTTAATTCCTATGTGACATAATTAAATTTCAAGAAGAGTTCCTTGGATACTATGTGGATTGAGTTGAAAGGTCACGGAGCAGAAAGAGTTACGAGGCCACTGCAGTGGTCCAGGCTAGAATTGATAAGGTCTGATGTGGGGTAGTGACCAGGGGATAGAGAGGTCAACATTGACCTTGGACTGAAGGAGGGGAAGAAGGACCAGAAAGCTCAGTGGGGGGACCAGCAGAAGACTTGCTCTGGAGCTAGCTACAGTGAGAGACACTTTACCCAAATCTGGAGGAACAAGGGCAAAGACCCTTCCAGAAAATTCACATCTTGGTCTCAGAGAAAGGGCTTAGCCAGGGTTCAGCTGATTCATATGGTGTTGGACAGGACACTGAGTCAGACTCTCAGAGTGCATAAGGCCGCAGAATGAGGATATTAGGCCCCAGCCCTAGATTTCCTTCAGTGGCCACTCAGTTCCTCTCCATTACCTCTGAAGAAGGGAGTTCCCATCTATATATATAAAAGCCTAAGTGACCAAATGACCAGTGGACTGGTCGCTATGATGCACCCTGACCACCAGGGGGCAGATGCTCAATGCAGGAGTGTGCTCAGTGTGCTCCCACAGGGGGACCACTACTCAGCCAGAAGTCGGGCTAAGCTGTTAGTAGGACATCCCCCAAGGGCTGAGCCTCTAGTCCTATATAATAACGGGAGTATGTAAATTGACCATCACTCCACCACAAAGGTGGTGGCACCCATAGTGGAGGCAGGGGGGAGGGTTTCTGTAACACAAGATGGCTGCACCCACAGTGGAGGCTGAGTTCCCATAACAAGCCATCAGCAAGGACCTGAGGCTATGCTCCTCCCCGCAACCGCACACCTCCCCACGCTATGCCCACAGAGAGGCCGAGTCCCGGTAATGAGCCTTAATGAGCAATCAGCAGGGACCTGAGGCTGCGCCCCCTGCCCCGGCGCCAGGCTAGGGGACCTCAGGCCGCGTCTCCCGCCTGGCAGAGTTTGATGGGGGACCTGAGGCCATGCCCCCCACCCGGCAGGGCTTGACAGGGGACCTCAAGGTGTGACCCCCACCCGGTAGGGCTTGGTGGGGGACCTCAGGCCATGCCCCCTGCCTGGCGGGGCTTGACGGAGGGCCTGAAGCTTCACCCCCTGCCCCAGCGCTGGGCCAGGGGGCCTGAGGCTGCACCCCCCCTCCTGGCAGGGCTTGACAGGGGTCCTCAGGCCGTGCCCCCAGCCTGACAGGGATT